AGGGAGTCTGCTTCTCCCTCTGACCCTCCTCCCTCTCATGCTCTCTGTCTCTCATTCTCTCTCTCTCAAATAAATAAATAAAATCTTTAAAAAAAAAAATTTAGCACAGAGTGTGGTAAGGAACTACCATTTTAGAACTACTTAACAATGAATAATGAATACTTCTTTCAAAAGTATTTTTAAGTTTTTTTTTTTAAAGCAACTCTATTCACACACATTATACAACTTACCTTCTCTAAGGGTCCAGGAGGATCTACATAAACAAATGCAACCCGTGAAAATAGTTTCAGGTTAAAGGACCCACTTTTGCCATGAATCACATCGTATGTACCTTTTATAATTTTTTTTCTGTTGCTGTAATTTTTCATTTCAGTGTCTACATTTTGGATTCACATTCTACTCTTGGCTTCCAGGACATCAAGTCTTCCAGAATGTTCTCCTAATCTGGTCTGCCTCTTTCACTCTTTTGTTCTTCTTGGGCCCCTGACTCATTACTGATGGAGTGTTCCTTGACTTGGTCTGGGCCCCCTTCCATCTCACTCTGCCCCGTCATCCATGGCCTCACCCACATGTAGGTTTCCATCATCATCCATTATCCAATGATGGCTCCCATATGTGCTTCTCCCGTCAACACACGTCTTATGAACTCCACACCCAATTTTCTACTTGATGTGTCTGTTGCAAAGTTACAAAGTCTCCTCCAACTGACATTTGCAAGGCCGAATTATGTTTTCTCCCTGCTCCAGACCTAGATGCCTTTTTATAGCAGTAAATGGAGTCACACTATCTCGCATTGGGGAAAGGAGAACAGTACAGTCCTCTGAATATCTGCCCTCTTCTTTCCATTCTCACTGGGAACAAATCAGTCAAAGGACCATCATCTATAACTTGGAAGCACATGAAAGTGGGACATAAGGTGTATGTGCAGAATGGTCCTAGATAGGCACAGGCCAAGATGCTAAGTAGAAATTGAGGATAGCAAGACCTCTTAAGGGAGGTGATTTAAAAACAAATTTTTAAGGATTTTATTTATTTATCTGAGAGAGAGAGAGAAAGCACGAGCCAGGGAAGGGACAGAGGGGCAAGCAGACTCCCCACCGAGTGCGGAGCCTGTCGTGGGGCTCCATCCCAGGACCCCAAGATCATGACCTGAGCTGAAGTCAGATGCTTAACCTACTGAGCCACCCAGGCGCCCCAAGGGAGGTGATGTTTTAACAAAGCTCTGAGCGCTGAAATTAAATCAGACCCTGGAACATCCAGCAGATGCATGGTCTTCGCGGGTCCAATGACACTGATTGGGAAATAAGTTTGGAAGGTATAAGGAAGCAAACAGACAGCAGTGTGGCTATAGTGAGTGACTAAGTGGGGGACCTGCATGTTGCAGGAGGGTGGGCACGGTTGTGTAGGAACTCCTAGTAAGGAGTATAACGTTCCATTCCAAGAGCAATGGGAAACCAGTGGACATTTAGACAGCAGTGTGGCAGGACCACACGCTTCCGCTGACAATTTGTTCGACAACTGCTCTGGGTAGAGTTGATTGAAGGAGAGGTGATCAAGGCTGCAAAGACCTGCCCAGAAGGCCCGACTCTCCTCCTAGAGAGAGAAGAAAGGAGCTGGACCCAAGCTGCAGGTCATGGGGATAGACGTGAGCCAACAGACCTGGGATATGGTAAACCCAATGGGATTGAGGATGGGTTTCAAAGTGCGGCTTGAGGAAGGGAGTAAAAGAAAGACAAAGAAATAAACACTTCCTTATTTTGAATCAAAATTTACTGTCTGGCAATATCTACACAACACTCCTGGTTTTCTGTTCTCTTGATCAATGCAGAACATCCCTCTCCCCCATTCTTAAGAGAATAACGTCATAGCCACTGCTGGCCCTCTCTTTTCCAAACTTCCTTGAGCACCTCCTCATGGGACAGGGATGCACGGAAAACCCCCCATTTAGCTGTAACCCAAAGCTGCACGTAACACTCCAGATATCCAACTGAAGACAATCGTAGTCAACTATATATAACTGATTAAATGATCATCGCTTTATATTTCACAGAAGGATACATCCATTATGGAACAGGGGGGTCTTAACATCGAGGTTGTACGACTTCCATGAATGTTTCCCGCCATACCGATTTCGTGATGTGCTCTTCACAAGATAAAGCAACGTCAGAACACCAGAGAATGGAACCTTTCCAGAAGGGTCAGGAATGTGCCGCGGGGAGCCACGTTCGCTCTGCCCTCCTCTCTTACCTTTCGATTTGGCATCCCACTCCAGAAACCACTTCATCTCGCAGTCACATGACCACGGATTGCCATGCAGGTAAAGATTCTCCAGAAGTGGCATGTTCTGCAGCATCCCCATGGGCAGAGTCCTGATCATGTTGTCAGCGAGGTAGAGGTGTCTTATGGTGGAGAGTCTGAAATAATCCAGAAACGTCAACGTGGAGAACGTGCCGGGATGGAGCTGGTGCAGCATGTTTCCCTCTAAGTGGAGAAGCCTCAGGGATGTTAAGCCATTGAAAGCTTGTGGGTGGATAAATTCGATCTTGTTGTGGTCAATGTGCAGTCTCATTAAGCTCCAGAGCCCCTGCAGGGTCTGGGCTGTGATCACGCGCAGCTTGTTATAGCTGAACTTGAAAACCTACAGAGACAGGGGCGTAGCAGAAAATCCTGTTTATAATTTACAAAGCCACAAGCAGGGACAGAAACCAGAACAGAGGGCAGGGAAGTAATGACATGAAGCTGGTTTTTAACCTAAAAAAAAATGGCAATTTTATTAATCGTTTGGGAGCATTAGATTGTTCCCACTATTCATTAATGGTCCTACAGGCTGTAATTACTGATGCTTGTAAAAGCATGAGTTTACCTGGAGGGAGCTGAGGTCTCTTAAAGCCCCGTCGGGGATGCTGGGGATGTCATTGCCATGAATCATAAGGAGCTCCAACTTGGTCAGTCCCGCAAATGAGGTTTCTGACAAAGCCTGAATACTATTAAATCTAAAAAAAAAAAAAAAATGATAATAGTAATTGGAATAAGAAACAGTGAATGCTTAAATCCCATATGGGAAAGATTCTGCAGCCTGCCCAGGAGCAAGTTAGCAAAATGTTGACTCTGAGGTCTATTGGTGCCATTCCCAAAACACATTTGTTGCTCTGTGTCCGTGTCCATTACCAGGGTCAAAAGGAAAGTGACGTATTTTTATTCGCCTTCATTCAGTTCAGGAATATTCGCTGGGAATTTTGACTAGGAACATGTTAATGGAGTTAGAGGCGATTTTAGGGAAACAAGTAGGATTTAAGTTCTAAAGGAAGTTGTTCCAAATGGCTCTTCTTGGAAACTTGCACTGAAAGTGTCAGTAATGATGAATGACACACGGGTCATTGAATGCAGAGACTTAGCATGAATGCAAAGAAATAGGCAGCTTGGGACATAGCTTGCATCACAAAACAAGAGAAGGAGGTGCTCCAGGCTCTAAAGGGCCAAATGAAAGAACTAACCACCCAACACACCAACACCATATGTCACAAGCACAAGCGGCCATTTCTGATGGATTCTCTAAATTATTTGTAAATGTTCTGGTGTGTTTTGGGTTCTGTGTTTGCATCCACATTGGTAAAGATGTTTCCTTGGCCAATCTGAAAATTCCTCATTGCTACATTATTGGGGGCACAAGGGACTCCCCAGAGTCAATCCCTGGGGAAGGGATTCTGAAATGAATGAAGAATCCTGTAGTGGAGGGCATTTACTTTATGCCACTGCTTCTGCTGAAATAGAACACATCTAGCCTGACATTCTGTATGACTTCTCCCTATCCCCTAGATAAAAGGAAACAGATCTGGACACGAGGCAGGTGAAGTGCTCATAGCCTAAAACACCAGATGACGCCAGGTCTAATTTTCTTATACATATATGCCTGAATCCAGACCCGGAATTCAAAGTCAAGATGTGGGTAATCACTCCTCTAAGAGCCAGGTCTAGGAAGCATTACCTTTCAGCTATAAATTCCAGGAAATACAATCTCTGAGAGCAAACCACTCACCTTCATTACTTGGAACTCTTCATAGAATTACTTTAAACATTGCCTTCTTTTATAAAACCAACTTATGCAAAGGAAAGGTCTGATGGAAGGAAATGTATCCTGTCTCATTAGGAAAAAGCAATAGGGATTCAAAATAATGCACAGGGACAATAGAGTAAAAATGTAATCATGGTTCCTGTTTGTCATTTAACTCATGGAGTCAATAGACAGTTAAATACAGAGGTTCCCCTTTCTGGATTATATGGGCAGTATCTGGAGACATGCTTGGGCATCACAACTGGGTGAGGGTGTGTTGGTGGCATCTGGTAAGTAGAGACCAAGGGTGCTGCTAAACACCCTACAATGCACAGGAGGGCCACCCACAAAGAATGACTCAGCCCCTAATATCAAGAATTTGAAGATTTGAAAACTTCCCAAGCAGAAGAGATTCTGTCTGTTGGTCTGTCTTTCTGTCTACCTATCCATCTATAGATCTATCTGTCCATCTATGCATCCATCCATCCATTCATCCATCCATCATCTATCTACCTATCCATCAATCCATCCATCTATCATCTATCTATCCTTCCATTCATTGATTCATCCATTCATCCATCATATCTATCTATCTATCCACTGGTCCATCCATCTATCTACCCATCCATTCATCCATCCATCCATCCATCATATATCTACCTATTCATCCATTCATCCATCCATCTACCATCTATCTATCCATCCATCCATCATCTACCTATTCATCAACCCATCCATCCATCATCATCTATCTATTCATCCATCTATCATCTATCTATCTATCTATCTATCTATCTATCTATCTATCTATCTATGGTAGTGGTCTGAACTGAGTGGTCTTGCCCCCAGGGGACATTTGCAATATCTCGAGTCATTTTTGGAGTTCACAACTGGGAGAAGGAGAAGGAGCTACTGGCATCTAGTGGGAAGAGGTCAAGAATGCCACTCAACACCATGCAAAACAGGACAGCCCCTACAACAAAGAACTATCCTACACAAAAATGGAAATAGTGCCCCAAGTAGACTGAGGTTGAAGAACCAGAGTCTAACCCAAGATGGGATAGTCTACGAACTATGCACTGCCTCATTCACTTACTAATTAGGATTCTACAGTGAAATCTGTCTGGGATGGTGAACCTAACAGGGAATGGATGGCAGAATCTAAACTCCTTTCCATTTCTGGATGCCTGAGGTTTGCCTGGAGACAGTAAGTTAGGGGGAGAATCGTATCAGGTGCGGTAAGTGGGGTTGGCAGGCAATCTAGGAGCTGGGGGTCCACAGGAAGGAGTGTGCTTCATTTGCTCCAACTTCAATGGGAAATGACTGGAAGGTTTTAAGAAAAGGAGTGACACGGGGCGCCTGGGTGGCTCAGTCGTTAAGCGTCTGCCTTCGGCTCGGGTCATGATCCCAGGGTCCTGGGATCGAGCCCCACATCGGGCTCCCTGCTCTGCAGGGAGCCTGCTTCTCCCTCTGCCACTCCCCCTGCTTGTGTTCCCTCTCTTGCTGTGACTCTGTCAAATAAATAAATAAAATCTTAAAAAAAAAAAAAAAAGAAAGAAAAGGAGTGACACAGACTAAGGTATGTGTGAAAACAATGCTCTACCACATGGAGAGGGAGTAAGTAAAATCACCCGAGAAGACCCTGAAGGTAAGAAAAATAGAAAGACCAGAAGGAGGAGGGAGGTCTTGGGACAGAGGAGGTGACAGTCAAAGGCTCAACCTCTAAGCGGGTATTTTCTTCCCTCTGAGGACCCAACGCATGTGGACGAAGCCTCTGTGCGCCCATCTAAAATCCAGCAGGGAGACGGGGAAATCAGCGTGGTGCTCAGGGAAGAGACTGGAATGAGTCTGCATGGAGAGTCTGCAACATTATCAGCCACTCGCCCTCCTGTGCACAATGCCTCCCTCACTTGCTGATTGAGGGTAACTGACCACGGAACCACGTCAAGCGAAATGTTTTCTCGTATCTCAGAAATATAGGTGAGACTGCTTCACCAATACCGGTTAGAATCACAAAACAAATTCTAAAATTAAAAAAGGGCAGTGTGGGCATTTGGAAAATTCAGAAAGAGGTCATCAAAACGAGTCTTTTCATCAAGGGGAAAATAAAAGTCCTTAAAGGTCTAGAAATATGACACTAAGTGGATGATTTTTTTGGTTGTTGTTTGTTTACTCAAAAATTCTTGGAAAGTAATTGTTGAAAAAGCTCGGGCTGTCCAAAGAGGAAACAGCAGATCTCTTTTTCCATGGTAACTGAGGACCCTGAAAACATCTCTGGGGGAATGAAAGATTTCATTAGTGCTTTGCCAATAATCTCTCATTCCTTGAGAGTTTTCTCCTCCTTCCAGATGGCTAGAAGACAAATCAGACCCTGAGTCCTATCTGTATTAGACGTTGCTCTTCTTCCCCACCCCCCAGCAACAAATGCACGATGACAGTCTCATGAATCAGAGAAAGTGCTGAGAGAGAAGAGTGATCTTATTGATTGAAATGAAAACATGGCATATGGATTCATGTTACCAATTAAGCCAGATGGAAGTAACGTACGTCGGTGCAGGGAAGCTATTCCTTAACTGGTTTTCTTTTTCCTTTACTATCACACCACAGCATCTCAAAATACTATTGCCGTCAAAAGGAAAAGAAAGCATCTTGATGTCTATGTTCTATTCCAGCGGACAAGCATTTGGGGAGACCGTAATTCAGAGTCTTTACCATTTAGAGTTCGTTAAAATGCAACCCGCAGAATCTATGTTCTAACTGAGAAATTAAGTTTCACCTGTACGAAATATTTCCATGTAAAGACGAGTAGAGGGAAAATGTCACAGAAATTATGAGGTATATACAACTCGACAAGCCATGGTCTAGTGGTGTTGCTAGGATCAAGCCATCACACTGTTAACCTTGTGGTCAACATGGGGCATCTTCCCTGCCCCGGTTTTCAACCGGAAGGCCAGTAGGGAAAACGCTGATGCTCCAGACCCTCAACACACAACAGGGGGCACATTCATGTCTTCTGGGCGGGACACACAGCGCAAAACCATTTCCTCCACCACCCCCATTCTCCCACTTTCTCGGGGAATCCACGAAGTACCTTCAACTCTGTGCTCTGCCAAGGGGTCAGGCTTGAGCGACAAGGTGGTGAATCACAGCAATATGGGACAATATGCTGAGAGTGGTTCACGAGGGCAACGATCTCTGTTAATTCCCATTCTCTTCTTCTACTGCTGCTGGCCTTTATAAATGCAAGAAGTTCTTTTTTTTTTAGACTCTGTGCTATAAGATGTCCAAGCATATGTACAATTATCTGTTCATTGACTCAGGTTTGGCCATTTCATTTTACTAAAACGTCCCATCAGTGGCCAGTCATCAAATCCTAAATTATTTTTGTTGTTTTGTGGGTGCTTGAAAATAGCTTATGTATTTTGTTGAGAAAGTCCAAGTAATTGTTTATAAACTTACACATGAATACCTGTAATTCATAGCAACTAATATTTATGTACAGGAAGCATTTCTGCATATGAAACAAAATTTTAAAATAAAGGAGCTCTATCTGAAATGCTGCATAAAAACATCTCTTAAAATATATCCCTATTTTAAAGAGGCAAAATCTGCAACAATTCTTTTATTTCCCCAAAGTCACTATCGCATCACCCGGATAACTTACAGAATGTCAGAAATGTCCAATTTATTTTAAAATTATGTTTAATAGCTTCTGAGGTCTATTTAAGTAAGTCTATTTTTATATTTAGGTCTGTGTCTGATACATCCGTTCGGACCCATTATCTGGAAAATAATCGTTATCACGGGAAATCTCTGGACACACTGCAGTTGTTCAGGATGCTGGTTATTAAGCCTTGTGATAGTGATTGCAGTTCATGGATAAATTCAGATAACCGCCCCCAAAGGATTGCATGTAGTATAGTTAACATCCATCACCCCCGATTCTGCCCATATCGAGGTACACAAAGCTAGATAGAGTGACACAGAAAGGAATAAGCATTTGCAGTTACGTCAATGAGCATACATGTATGAAAAAAACAAGCAAAGAGGCTGAAACTGTTCAGTAAGAATGTGGTACAAACCCCAAATTGATTCTTTCCACATGTTTAGAAATCCCAGCGGGCACAGAAGCCAAGGAGCGAAATGTGCAGTGGACCTCGCTAGGAACGTAGCAGGTGCAAGGGTGAGGACAGGCGAGCGTGGGTCGAGGATGTCCCCAGAGCAGGATCAGCACCACGGAGAGTGCTGGCCAGTGCCCCTGCCTTGGCATCTTGTCGGGGTGCGTTATCCCTGGACACCTGTGGGGGAACCACAAAATGATATCCGTTTATGGCCAGGTCGATCTTATGCTCAGCAGATGCTGTTTCAAGTGTTCATTGTGACTTGGAGCTTCCCAAGACATCATATGGTATCCTTCAGTGACACAAGGTATCTGAGCCAAGAAACACGAAACTTACTTTCCTAATCTTTCCCCGTTAACTTTAATCATTACGTAGGATGCAAGGTAATTGCTGATTTTGACACTACGATTTGGAAATAGTGTGTGATAAGCGAGGGTAGGGAATACACACACCGACACGCTAAAATATATATACATATGTGTCCAAATATACATATTCGTGTATATATATTTGTATATATGTAGAGAGGAGAGATACATTTGTGTTTCTATAATAATAAAGTAATTAAAATAACTATGTGTCTGCCTCCAATGTCAATTCCGAGCCATTACATATTGTACGTATTTGAAGTAAAAAAAAAAAAAAAACTTATTAAGAGTGTTTCCCTTTTTTAGTGACGTTACTTAAAGTTTTCAATATATCTTCTGAAAGTGTTTAAAGGGTTCACATTCACTAAGGAAAAATGTATTCCATTATATGTGGGTTTGTGTACTATCCTTAATTTTATTTTTTTTCTTGGAAGAGGCACAGGGTTACCACGATGCACCATCGTTGTTCATCGGGGACACAATTTATAAAATGTGACATTAAATGACGAGGAAAGCAGGTACCTGATGACATATATTCAGGCAAAGGAAAAAGATCAGTGAAGTCATACACACAAAAATGGAAATGCTCGGATATTTCAAATGATAGGCTGCCTCAGCTGTCTGGTTTAGAATACCCGTGGTTATTTATTTTTTCATGCATTGGCCATCCCTTAATCATTTTATATGTTCGTCGTCTCTTGAATGAAGTTTCCTTAAAAATAGTAATGCACGTGGAAAGTAAAGTGCACAACACAGAAACGCGCCTGCTCTGGGCAAACGCTAACTGCTGATATCAAGCTCATGCGCTCGCACAAGCTAGGGGCATCCCAAATCCGGAGCTTTTCCGTCCTTTAAATCACTTCCAAATAGATATTCTTTTAAGCCCGTGTGCGTCCTCTCTTTGAGCTGCGCGTCAAGCGCTGACGGTGCAGACAGCCCTGCGGGAAGGAAATTCAGGCTTCACCTCTGCGCTCGGTGGCGAGAAGGTTCCTACAGCCCCACGGAGTAACAGCCTCCCCGGCTGCCTGCGCGCTTCCCCTCGGCGCTGGGCTCCGCCGCCCGCAACGCGCGCTGTGCCCATGGGCGGCCCCGGCCCCCGAGTGGCGACGTCTCCTCCGCACCCTGCGCTCTCGCCAGGTCCTCCCGAGAGACCGAGAGCGCGCGCCCCCCGGGAAACCCAGGCCTGGCGCCGCGGGGGGAGGCGCCCTGAGCCAGCAGGGCCGCCGGGGCCCGCGGGGAACCCGGAGAGGCTGGGCCGGGGCGGGCTAGCTGGCGCGGCAGCCCTGCGCCCTGGCCGGCTTCCAGCGCCGCTCCAAGGAAAAGTTGGGCTTTCCCGGAACGCAGCTCGGGTGGCCCGGCGGGTAGCCCCTGCTGGGACCCGCACACCAGGAGCCGTCTCTCCCGGCTGACGACTTCTCCAGCTTCCGTGCGGCTCAGCCCCCAGCGGCCGGAGGCTCTCCCCCTTTAGGAGGAGGAACAGGAGAAACTTCAGCGCAGGGCGCCGAGGAACTCTGGGGAGGCCCCGCAGCTGTGCTGTCCCCTCCAACGCAGGGCGGACTCGCTTTCACTTGGAGGTCCCCTGGGCACCTCCCTGGAAACCAGGGATGGGTCGGAGCGAGATTGCCAGGTCAGGGAGGGAAGGGGTAAAGGAGAAAAGGATCCTCCCGCCAGATTCGGCTTCTCTCCTGCCTCCGCACTGGCCCCTCAGCCCCAGTGCCAGGGACACTGCCATGCGTCTCTTCGCCTTCGCCCAGCCTTTCCCTTGGCCGACCCCCAACTCCACCCCTGCAGCAGGGTCCGCGCCCCCCGGGCGCCCAGGCTGCCCTTGGTCCTCACCTGTCCTTCGGAAGCTGCGACACACGGGAGCGGGGCGCCCTGAGCATCCGCGGGGCCGGGGCGCGCGAGTCACCGCCGGGGGTCCGCCGGGGCCATGCCCTTCCCGGGCCGGGGGCGAGGCAGCGAGGCTTCCCAGCTCGGCGCGGAGAGCCGGATCCCTTTTATTCGCGTCGCCGAGAGGCTTCCCCGAGTCCACGCCTCGGCCCACCCCCACCCTGCCCTGCCCCACCCCGGGGAGACGGGGCGCGGGCCCGAGCCAAGGGACCCTGGCCGCGCGCGCTCTGCGCTCAGCCCTCCTCGCGCCTTTTCATCGCGCCTCGGCCCGGGAGGGCACGCCTCGCCCACTCCGGCTGGAAGAGCGGCCGCGGCCCAGCGCGCGCGGCTTTGGGGCGGAGTGTTCCTGGTCCCGGACGCAGTCCGGGGACCAGGGGCAGCGGGAGAGGCAGGGAGCGCGCGGCGAGCCGCGGCACACGGTCCGCGCCCCGGACCGCTCTCCCTAGCAGGGCTGGAAGGACGCTTGCTTTCTTTCCGGGGAAGGGAGAAGGAGCAGGGTTTGCACTCCTCCGGGCGGGACGCAGTTTTCTCTGGCAGCTTCTCTGCACCCGTGTGCAGGCGGGAGCCGGCTGAGCTCCGCCGGCAGCTCCCAGCTGCAGGCCGCGCTGCAACGTGAGACCCGCGGCCACGCCCTCCCGCGTCTGCTGTTGCTCCTGGACGCCCGCCTCTCTGCAGCTGCCAGAGTCCTGCCAAAAACGTGGAACTGCGCTCCTCCCGCCCCGAGGAGCCTGCGGGGGCAGCGCCAGGGCGGGGACCTCTGGGGAGCCTCGGGGTGTTGGCTGGGGGGACGTGGGAACGAGCTGGGGAGAGGGCAAGGGACAAAAGCTGCAGAGAGCGGTGCGTCTATAACTCAGAAGGGGAGGGAAGAGAAGGCCGTCTGCCTTCCAGAGGGAATCAGACAGGAGGAAGGTAGGAAGGGCTCAGGTGAGTACAATCATCAGCGGAGGACCCCCCCCCCCACCCCCCCCCCCCCGCCACACCCCCGCCAGAGCAACCCGAACACCCAAAAAAAAAAAAAAAAAAAAAATGTGTCCAAGGGTCAACAGCGAGGAAGGGAACATTCCAGAGGTCCTGGTAGAGCCTGATGCATGCCCAACACTCTACCACGGGCTTTTAGGAGGTGGCCCCAAAGGAGCCCGGGGCTGAGTTGCTTCTGATGCATGGAGTCTGGGCTGCCTCAGTTTCTCCTAAGAAGCACAGTGTCCAGAATTCCTCTCTGCCCTTTGCCCAGGGTGGTGTCCACAGCTAGGAAGGTCAGCGGTAGGCACTGATTCCTAAATGGGTTGACTCCCTGGTTCTGTAGCGTTGGTTTTCAACAATGTGTGTTGACATATTTTTCAGGGACTAGTTTTAGGGATTCTCTCTCTGGGAGTGCCCCAAACCCACCAATGGGATTTATAAAAGTGTTGTCCCCAGAACATCTTCTGATATTTACTGATTGGATTGCCATCACTCTACTCAGCTGAACTGGAAACTCACATCATCCTCCCCATATATCTCTTCCGTGGGACCTCATGGTCAACTAGTCGCCAAGTCAAGTGGATCCTGACTTGGAAGAATGGGTGGGCCCCCACGCCCAGCTCTCTCGCTGCCTTGGTAGGGGTACTCATGTCTAGCCTTCTGGTACTTCTGTCGGCCTCTTCCTCCACCAATTCCTTCTTTACTAAATCTCCAGTGGGTTGCACAAACGGGGACGGTTGCCATCATCCTCAAAACAAGTCCTGAAGTTGCCCGTGGGTGACATGCCAAGGTCTTCCCAGACGGTCCCAATGACCTTGCATCTGCTGGCCCGTCTGGTTGTGAGGAATTGGTGGAGATTCCACAATAGTCTTCTCTTCCCAGTGTCCATGCATGTTCTCTTCTTGAGGTACTTGCTCGAGTCCGTTCTTTGCTGCCCCTACCTTGATAATCTCCTCCCCAACTTCCTGTCACAGCATCTCCCAACTTTCCTGCCCACCCATGTGGCCCTTTGCTTAGTTATGGCGAATTACTTACCCGCTTCTAAATAAATGGTAACATTCTGAAACCTGGAGACTGGCGTGGAGATAAGCATACGCCAGGGGCTCAATGGAATGCATGGACAGAATGAAGGACCGGATGACGTTCAATTCTGCTAAGAAATGTGTAGATTAAGTCAGTCCATGAGTTATACAACAAATGCATGAATATAGTGTTACGGATTCTCAGTGATTCCGTAATTTTAAAAAATCAATACTTTGGTGCATTTAATCCTTTTGTTTTGACTTTGGTCTTGGCAGCATTGCCTGCTTCCTTGGTGGTTAACTCCATGGGCAGGAACCATGTTTTACTTGAGTCTCCACAAGTGCCAACAAGGTTCCTTGAATGCAGAAGGCTTAGAGATGCATGTCGGTTGAGTTAAATTCACCTGTTTCTCCCTTTTGCACTATGGTGCAGGTTAGGGAGGGAAGAAGATGAAGGGCAGGTCAACCAGCTAGGAGAGCTTGTAGCTACCTCTAATGCACTTGGAGCAGAGGAGTGGTATTGACCTCACTATTGGCCAGAGTCCACTGGAGTCCAATGCCATGTGCCTTGATGGATGCATGGTGCATGTAGCCATCTGTCAGATACTGCTTTCCCGTGTTCTTACATGAAGTGGCAATTCTCACCTTGAACTAGAATTTTGACAAAAGATACACTACGGATTGGATTGTGTCCCCTCCAAAGTCATAGGTACAAGCCCTACCCCTCCATGGGTTGGTATTAGGAAGTGGGGCCTTTGGGACGTGATTGGGTTTAGATGAATTCACGAGGATGGAGCCACCATGGTGGGATTTGTGCCCTTGTAAGTGGAGGAAGAGATCGGAGGTTCCTATCTCTGTCCACCATGTGAAATCACAGAGAGAAGACAGCCATCCATAAGCCAGGAAGAGGGTCCACTCTAGGAACCAGATCTGCCGGCTTCTTGACCTCGGACTTCCAGCCTCCTGAACCATGAGAAATAAATATCTTGTTGTCTAAGACCCCCAACCTATGGTATTTTGTTACAGACGCCCAAGCTAAGACAATGTACTTGGTCATGAGCTCTTGCCTACTGTGATCTTTGGTCTACAAGAGACATCTATTAGCCCAAGGTTTTTACAGGCCCCGTGGTACCATTTATGGGGGCAGCGACTCCTGTGTGCCCAGATGCCCCGGTCGGCAGGCTGGTAGCAGGCAGCTTTCGGAAGGCGGATACATGGGAAAGGCATCACTGAGATGTGTCTGCTCTTGAAATTCAATGCTCTGCACGCGGGCATTCAGACAGAAATCCTAATGGCTTTGCCGGACCAGTCCCCAGCCTCCAACTCCTGTCCTTGACCGGGCTTTTCTTTTTAGGAACACGGGGATACGAAAAGCTCATGGCTCAGAAATCCCTACAGTCCTTTGCTGTGGGGAACCCCCCATCCGTGAGCCTGATCTGCATTGTTATAAGGCCCTTAGCCTTATAACTGTTGCTCTTGTTAGAAGGGTATAGACTTCCCCTGGCATGGCAGAGCAATTGGTAACTGAGTCAGACGGCTGGGCTCAAGCTTCCCCCCTCCTCCTGCTTGCTCTTTCTTAGCTGGGTAGCCCAGACCATGCCATTCGCCCTCCCTAAAATCAGCTTTTCCAAACATAAAAGAAGGATGGAGTGACGCCCACCTGTCAGGGGTAGGGTATCGACACACCGAGATAGGGCGTACAGAGAACCCAGCAGCTGCCCCGTGTCTGTGTCAGTATCTACCATCGGGTGAACCTAGCCTCACTTATTTTTAGTGCATTCTCGTGGCTTTCATCCTCCTTGCCCCCAGTCTTTCCCCCAACACAGGATCTCGGGGATAGACTGGCAGTTTCTTGGATGAGGTGACACTCATAAGGGCTGTGGTTTTTGAATGGGAGAGTTTAATATTCTAAGAGAGGCCGTGCATGGCCAGGGAATGACGTGGCTCTTTGCTTAACAGGGACTTTTAACGTCGCTTCTGGGTCACGTGACTGGCCTCCATTTCCCCCACCCCCCGCCCCCCACTGCTGTCTGGCTGACCGTCAATCCTGTGGGATGACCCGGAGACAGAGAAAAACGTCTACTCAGGAAATGTCTACTTGCATAGCTGGGAAATCCCTTGGGGTGCACGGATCGCTGGTGGGGACGTATCTTTATTGGAGCAGAAACAGACTCTGCGGAATGTTCCGTGGGAAACTTGGCCCCCCGTGTGTCTAGGGTAAACCTTCAGGGAGGATGCAGGCTACTGGCAATCTTGCCGAACGCGAGGGGGTATTTTTGCTCCGTTTGTTCATAGATACAGGAGTCGGAAATTGCCTGCTCAGTTGCCTACACTAAAATGCTTCCAGATTTTCTCAGCAGCGTGATTTAAAGCGGCGTAGCCTGCCGAAGGAAGGAGAGGTGTTTGTCGGAGACACTCTGCAAATCTCCCAAGCACAGCGGGGTCATCTTTGCAAAATGCGCTGGAGAAAATTCTGCTCAGCTGGGAGGGCAGCAACGTACAGAAAAAGCATGGTGTGTAGATGCGAAGTCTGGGAAGCCTGTCGTGGGGGACGTGCTAGAAGGGGTTTCTGGGCAGTGCAAAGGGTATCGGTCCATCACTGCCCCTCAGCTGAGCAGAAGCGTCTTGAACAAGGCAAGTCATGGGCACACACATGCTCCTTCCCTCTGGGTCTCCAAATTGCGCTTGGTGGAAAACCACCGCAGGGGGATGAGGTCATGGAATTATTCCTCCCTCCTACCCCCCTGCACACTGTACAGGCCGGGGGCAGGCAGACGGGGGCAGGCAAGGAGATCTCAGCACTTACTAAAGCATCCCCTCGAAGACCTCAGCTCTGGATGGCAATTTGGCAGAAACCGAGATCCGGCTCACGTTTCAAAATAAGAACTGCCGAAGGTCTCGACTTTGACTTGAAAATATTCATCTGAGAAAGATGTCCTATACTTGAGGAATATTCAACATGCTCAAAAAGGGTTGTGAAGACTTTTTTTTTGGAACAAGACATTTTGGCCTGTGCTCATGCTAACTCTACGAGCCCAGTTCGAGCTG